TGGGGTCGTCACGGTCAAACCAACCTGTCCAGGACCCTTCAGGACAATCTGGAACTGGAAACAAAAAACACACGAGTCTGCATTCACTGTAACCAATGCCTTCTTTTTCATATCAAATCAAAATCAAATTTATTGCTCAATAACTATAACTCGTACAATGTATGACAGAGAAAATCATCAAGGGTAGATACACAAAATATAGTACAATACAATTTTAACAAAGTCAATATATATTAAATATTATATAATTATAGTAAATTTCAATTTAGCAAAGCTAATCTATTACATGTTTTCCAAAATGTATGCACACAAAAGCATTCAGAGTACAGATGGTGAATAGAAGTGTTGCTAAAGTCACTAGTTTGTACTTATTTCCGTTTTATTTATCGTAAATTAAAATATGAATAGATGATCTAAAATAAATCAATGTAATGAAAAGATCGGTTTCTTGTTCTATACGTTTTCTAAGAGCTAAAGCTTAGTCTTTAGATAAACTACTTAGTTACGTAGAATATGCGTTTTTTAGAAACAAAGAAAAATGTAAATCAACGTTAGCTACCTAAGAGTGAACTAGGTTGGCAATTTCCATACTGTATCAACCTTTTTATTATCAATTTCAAGAATATTTTAAGCACATTTTGTGTTATATCAACACAAGCAAGTTTTGGGGGTATATTTGCTAGTCTAGAATAAATAGCATGAACACATACCAACATCCGGACAGCAGAAACGCACTTCATAATCCAGGCACACGCCGTCTTTTTGGTCCTCCTTCCTGCAGACGAAGCCGTTAACTGGATCGTAGAAAGCGAAGTATTCTCCCGTCGTTGACGCGTCCTGTCCCGTGCCGATGACGCGAGCCTGGATGCCCGTCGGTGAGTCACAGATCCGCCCTGGGTTCTCGTTTTGAAGGTCGGTCAGAGTCTCCCAGTCACCGGTTCCCGTGGGGTTGTCACGGTCGAACCAGTCCGTCCAGCTGGTGCATTTAGCTGACGGTTTAAGCAAGAAAGACTTACATTTGCTCTGGTTTTATTAGTCAGTCAAAAAACATGGAATTATATAAAAAAAAACTAATTCATTATAATTGATTGATTTTCTTAGTTTGCACATTAAACAAAACAGAAGGTAATACTACAAAACAAGGATAAAGCAGGTGCAGGAGGAGGGGAGAAGCATTAAATGCTTGTACAAGGGCCTCCTCCTCTAAACTATACAAAATTAAATATAATCAATAAATGGAAATAATGCAATAGAAGATAGAAGCAATACAATAAGGATAATCAAGTGATATACGGTATGAATTAAGGACAATGAAGTGAGGTAATGTAGGTCATACGTACAGTGCAATAATAATAAGAAGAGTCATTGGTATAAGTTAAAATAAGAAAATAAGAAATAATATAAACAAGGAAATCGACATGATTTTGGAACTGGAGTTGCTTGAGTAACTTGTTATTTCTGGGGACCTGTTTCTTGTTATATGGATGTCTAACCTGACAGGTTGAGGAAACATTTTAGCACCGTTACGAAAAAATGTGCATTAGAAAGCAAAATCAAATGATGGGTCGTGTGGTGTAATGGTAGAGTGTTTGTCACACAACACAGAGGTCACGGGTTCGAACCCTGCCTTGCCACCTATCTGGTTCCATTCGGAAAGATACACTTTCCATACAGTATTTTATTTTCCTCTGCGTTGGTGGCAGCATAAAATAAGTTTAAAAACTTGAGAATGTTCTTATCATGTCTAGTGGTTATATGTTGAAATCGAAAAAAAAATCCAATGTTGCTATTTCATGATTATGGATACCTGGTTTCGGGACGCACTTGGCGTTACAGCCACCACAATAGTTAGACCTGTGGACGCAAGAACAGACGTTATTGGAGGTTAACGATCGTAATATAAAAAAAAAATATATAAAACAAGAAATAGAAATGCAACATTTGAAATTGCACAATACTGGTCTAGCTCAACAGGTTGCTTCACTGTTAATTCTTACTCAAAGTACACACATTATGTTTGGTGAGTAGCCTCTCCAACTCTGCTCTGCTCTGCTACATAATGTTACCCAACACCACAGGGTGTTGCTAAAACACAAGTTACGTACCATGGTGACAGACGTCTGGTACATGACATTATTTGTTCGGAACGCGCGAAGAAGAAGATGAAGAAAAGAAAAAAAATGAAGCTGAGAAAAAACAATATGTTTCACTTCGGTCAAGGTAAGCAGAGTTTATAGACTATAAAAAATGACCAATACGAGAAGATATGATTACTTACAGACATGTGAATCCCTCTGCGCACCGAACAGTCTCACAGGGGTCAGCGAAACATTGCACCAGCTCGGATCCATCGGGACAAGAGGTCGGCTCTACAGACACAGAGAAATAAAACATCTCTACCCCAAACAAATTCGGGTCATACACTAAGGAAACCCCCAGAATCCATCACTAGAACTGCCCTTGACTGGAACCCCCAAGGGACAAGGAGGAGGGGAAGACCTTGGATGTCCTGGAAGAGAGGTGTCAGGAAGGACCTAACAGTAGCCAACACCTCTTGGTACGAGGTTAAGACGATCGCAAGGGGGGTGGAGAGCGTTCACTGAAGCCCTGTGCTCTAGGACGAACGAAGAGGATTATGTCAAGTCAAGTAAGTCACCCCAAATAAATTATCAGGTTGGTAAATGATTGAATAGTCAAGTTCTTTAATTCTAAACACAACAGTTTGTTTTTCGTGAACGGACGTTGCGTTTCAATGACCGTCTGTCATCTTCTTCACGACTCATATGAATGATTTACTGTGTACTAAAGTTATGTATCACTGTAATAATGCTATCCTAAGCGTAACCTCTCTGCCAAATGGATACTGCCTGGGCAATTTATATTACTGTGTTATGCCACCCTGGCATCTTCTTGCAGATTACTATCTGAAAGCCAATTGAAAGTATTTGTATCTGTATCGATATAGCCGAAATAACAGCCCTTCGGCGTAACACACCAGCTTCGCAGGCAGCGCGGCGGCAGCTATCTATATAACACCAAACGACTTATTACACTCAATCTTTGCACATTTGAATGCAAGAGTTGTTTAAAGCTTTCTAGTGATGATGCCCCAACTGTGCTTGGTGCCAACGAGTTCCAGTCAACGATAGTTCTGGGGAAATACGAGTTTTTGAATACCTCAAGTACACTACCAAATGAAGGAAAACAATTGAAGACAATGTCATACAACTACCGTCTGATCAACTTATACTCCTACTACATTAGGTTTTCTACTTTTGGGTCTGACTTCTTCTTTGAAGGCAGTAGATAATGAATTGTCCACGTTCTGCATAATAAGTGGATTTCGTGATGTTAGCAGAAACATTTGTCAAAGTCTTTTAATGATATTCTAATGGTAAAGGTTCGGGAAATTGTGGCTACTTTTTGGAACGATATGTTTCCGTCAGTTTTATAGTAAGAACACTAGCTAATTGAGTGTGTTCATATATGTCATAAAGCAGATAAAAGATTAATTTTTAAAACATTGCCATCAGTATTCACAAATTGCACTGCTGTGTAACAGAGTGAACAAAACGTACCACACTCAGCGTTACATCCACCACAGTAGTTGGACCTGCAGAGACAAAAAACATTGCCAACTTAAAAATGAACAGCGTTTTGGCTTAATAAACATTAACAACAATAACGCCTACAGTAGGATTAGACTTAAACAATGACAATCGGGTCAGAACTGTTCAGTATGACTGCGAAATAAACATTACTATGTAGCATGGTGTTGTATAACTGTAGGTGATACAACAATCTGGTCAGAACTATTAACTATAACTGTAAAATTAACATTACTTTGTCGTCCGATGTTATACAAGTGATAACACTGACAATCAGGTCAGAACTGTTCAGTATGACTGAAAAATAAACATTACTGTGTAGTCTGGTATTGTATAAGTGATAACACTAACAATCAGGTCAGAACAGTTCAATATGACTGTAAAATAAACATTACTGTGTGGTCTGGTATTGTATAAGTGATAACACTAACAATCAGGTCAGAACTGTTCAATATGACTGTAAAAAAAACATTAATGTGTAGTCTGGTATTGTATAAATGATAACACTGACAATCAGGTCAGAACTGTTCAATGTGATTGTAAAATAAACATTAATGTGTAGTCTGGTATTGTATAAGTGATAACACTGACAATCAGGTCAGAACTGTTCAATGTGACTGTAAAATAAACATTACTGTGTAGTCTGGTATTGTATAAGTGATAACACTGACAATCAGGTCAGAACTGTTCAATGTGACTGTAAAATAAACAGTACTGTGTAGTCTGGTATTGTATAAGTGATAACACTGACAATCAGGTCAGAACTGTTCAATGTGACTGTAAAATAAACATTACTGTGTAGTCTGGTATTGTATAAGTGATAACACTGACAAGCAGGTCAGAACTGTTCAATGTGACTGTAGAATAAACATTACTGTGTTGTCTGGTATTGTATATGTGATAACACTGACAATCAGGTCAGAACTGTTCAATGTGACTGTAAAATAAACATTACTGTGTAGTTTGGTATTGTATAAGTGATAACACTGACAAGCAGGTCAGAACTGTTCAATGTGACTGTAGAATAAACATTACTGTGTTGTCTGGTATTGTATATGTGATAACACTGACAATCAGGTCAGAACTGTTCAATGTGACTGTAAAATAAACATTACTGTGTAGTTTGGTATTGTATAAGTGATAACACTGACATTCAGGTCAGAACTGTTCAATGTGACTGTAAAATAAACATTACTGTGTAGTCTGGTATTGTAAAAGTGATAACACTGACAATCAGGTCAGAACTGTTCAATGTGACTTTAGATAAACAGTACTGTGTAGTCTGGTATTGTATAAGTGATAACACTGACAATCAGGTCAGAACTGTTCAATATGACTGTAAAATAAACATTACTGTGTAGTCTGGTATTGTATAAGTGATAACACTGACAATCAGGTCAGAACTGTTCAATGTGACTGTAAAATAAACAACTACTGTGTAGTCTGGTATTGTATGAGTGATAACACTGACAATCAGGTCAGAACTGTGGAATATGACTGTAAAATAAACATTACTGTGTAGTCTGGTGCTGTATACTTAACACCACTGAAATCGGGTCAGAACTGTTTTGTATGACTTTAAAATGAAAATTTGGAAAATTAGACTTTACTGACACTTACACACATGTCGTTCCTTTTGCACACTTTGTATAAGTACAGGGATCAACAAGACACTCCACCAGTTCTTCTCCGTCTGGACAAGGCGAGGGTTCTGTAGCAACTGACAAGAAACAATACTTTATTGGTGCAAGAAATGTACTGGGAATGTAATGCCTATAACTTAAGGCATACAGACAAAATCGTGAGCTCAAAAGAATTGATCTATCTGCAAGATTATGGAAGAATCAGCATCCTGACTTTGGTGTCACTGTACTTCTTGTTCCTAGGTTTAAGCATACTTTGACACCTATTTGAACATAGAATTTTCCTATAGAGTTAAGTTGAATTTATGAAATATAACACGTTCTGTTTAGGAAGCCAAAAAGATTTGGCAGTTTTGTGTGTTTATCATCATGTGGTAGACAATTCATAATAAAATGACTTGAAAGAAAATTTTGGTTGATTCAGAAGATTTTTGCAAATCAGAATAAAATGAAGCGGAAATGAATCCAAGAAACAAATTACTACATGTAGCAAAAACCTTAAAACAGCATGATATAAAGGTATCCAACATACACAGAAGCAAAATGAAATGGTTAGATTAGATTCTTTTAGCGATTTGATATATGTATATGTCGGCTGGTAAAGTTATACCGATACGTAAAAGTATGATTAAGACTTACTACACTCAGCGTTACAACCACCACAGTAGTTCGCCCTGCAGAGATCAAAATAAAGTTTGTAACGATCAAAATTTAATAAGGTTAAGTGATTCCTTCATATGCTAGATGACTAGAAAGAGTTTAACGATGATATTGGATTAGCAACAGTAAAATATAGCTAGCGGTACTTACGCACATTAAGTTACTAATAGTAAATGTCATTAGTACGTACTAGAATTGAGGTAATGACAGTTTACCTTAGTAATATTTACACACATTAAGTACAGAAAACATTGAGTTAGTGATAGTGAACTGTGTATTACTTACACAAATTGAGTTAGCGGCAGTTAACTTCAGTAGAACTTACACACATTGAGTTAGTGACAGTGAACTTTGTATTAATAGAATGCACACATTGAAATAATGACAGTTGACTTTAGTAGCACTTACACACATTGAGGTAGTGACAGTGAACTTTGTATTAATAGAATGCACACATTGAAATAATGACAGTTGACTTTAGTAGTACTTACACACATTGAGGTAGTGACAGTGAACTTTTTATAAATAGAATGCACACATTGAAATAATGACAGTTGACTTTAGTAGTACTTACACACATTGAGTTAGTGACAGTGAACTTTGTATTAATAGAATGCACACATTGAAATAATGACAGTTGACTTTAGTAGTACTTACACACATTGAGTTAGTGACAGTGAACTTTTTATTAATAGAATGCACACATTGAAATAATGACAGTGGACTTTAGTAGTACTTACACGCATTGAGTTAGTTACACTGAACTACGGGAGTACTTACACACATTCAGTTCCTGCTGGGCACAATACCAAAACACAGGGATCCTGAATGCAGTTCACCAGCGGCTCTCCGTTTGGACATGGTGTGGGTTCTATAGGCACTATGTATGGAGATAAGTAAATGTAACTGGTTATTACTGAACAACATGTCGGATATTCTAAAATACCCTCTATAAAAGTCACTAGTACGCGTAAAACATTACAAACAAGTAAAATCTGAGATTTTATACCTCCGGGCTTTTTATTTTATATTTTTATATGTTGTTTACAACAACAATTGTTGCGCGCCGCAGGACTAGGGTTTTAAACAATGAATTTATCGAGACCGGACACCCCTCTGTGCGAGGGGTCACATTCGTGGACGAGACCGACAATACCTAAATCACGCCAAAGGTCAACGGTCGCGACCACTTTCACGCTCAAAGGGGTGTTATGGGGCCACAAAAGGCACCATTTTCACGCCCGAAAACACATATACAATAGAAACAAAAGAACGTGCATCATCTGCAGCCCAATAGCAAAACATATACCGAGTTTAAAAAAAAGCATCCGCCCACCCAAACGCGAGAAACAGCTGCGAACATGAAAATCTAAATCTCTCACAAAACCCTTCCGTGGAAGGATGTCTCCTCCCCCGGAGGTAAAAATTCAATATATTGGAGGTTTGTAACTTTTTCTCAATGATTATAGAAATAAGGTTATAATAATCATATTGTATCTTAACTAATGGCCTTCTATAGTCGTTTTTCGCATACATCGTAGGTGTGAAAGTCTAAAAATTTGGCATACGTGGCATAATAGCATTTTAAGACTTCATTTCGTATAATGCAAAAAAAAACCTCCATATTTACCTTATCATGGTGATGTTAGGTTTGTACTAGTTTACGTATGTCTAAAGAATTAGGCCCATATTTACAATATGATATCTGTTAGTAAAGAATGGTTGACAGAAGTTCAGTATGGGCTACATTGTGGTCCAAGTGGCGGATGAAAGTTTGCGACCGACAACAAAACAGTCAAGTAAGTTATCTGTTTTACCCGATGGACATATGTTACATGCATTAAAGTTCCTTCAAGTAACACGCTGTAACTTATCAGTTCAAATCAGCGCCATTCCCAGACTAAAAAAAAGTTATTGGCATTTGAATAGCGCTAGGAAGGTCAGCACCAGGTTTTCCCTTCCTTTATACCAACTGTCAAAATTATCTCCCATCGCTCATGGAACTGAAGCAAAATAAAGAGACAAACTTACGACTAACCCACCCAACATAACATGTACTACCGTACCAGGAAGTAAACAATCAGATAAAGAATGTTTTCGAAGGAAATCTTAAATAGGATTCTCAAAAGTACAACACAAGACAAGCGAATCTACTGCGTAAACCCAAATACACAAACAGAACTGGACAGAGAACTTCAGCCTATAACTCGCTTAACACGGTAACTAAACATGCATCAACAATAAATGCTTTTAAAGTAGCGCTAAGAACATACGACCTCTGACCCTGACCTCACGGACAACCGACTGTCATTTGACAATACGACTATGCCTAACGATTTTGACTATTTGTTTTGGTTGTTCCGTTGAGTTTGTATGATTGATTATTTGTACCCTCTGTTTATATTATTTATTGTCATTTGCTATGTTTGATCATTTGACTAATCTGTTTTATTTTGTTTAATTTTTATTGTATTCCATGTTGTCCAATGTGTATGTACTGTTGGGCTACCTTGGAAATCAGTCTTTCAGAGACTGAAGGTACCACCCAACTGTCTTTTAAGATAAATAAATAAATAAACTGCAGAGCAACACAGACACTAAACAGAACTTACCACAGTCAGCGTTACAGCCGCCACAGTAGTTGGACCTGTAGAAGTGAAAATTCAATTCAATTCAGTCTTGAATGAAGTTTGTAGCATCCAAACAGCTTTTAAACTCGAAAGATTTCTCCATGTAGTACAAATTCCACAATGATTTGATTTCATGGATGATATCTGTGCTGGCATTGCTTTCTATGTGTTAAAAAAACCTTAGACCTGGCCTAGGTGGTATCCTCTGAAGTCTATGGTAACTAGTAAGCCGGCGGTAGGTACTACGATAACTACCATGCTACTGAGACTCCACGGAAATCCAGGACTGGGTACAGTGCCGACTCATAAATGTCGTAAAAGTTGCTGTGCATTAACGCAAATTCACACTACCAGCTTTGTATCCCTGTGGTTTAGCAGCATTTTCGGAGGTAGCTGGAATTCTTTTAGCCCACACGCACAAGTTTGGGGGTCATCAGATGATGCTATCCATAAAATTTACTCAGTGTGGCATAACTAAACTTTATCAGTGTTCTAACACACATAGAGTTAGTGACAGTAATCTTTAGTAAACGTTAGTAGCACTTACATTTAGTTAGTAACAATGTACTTCAGTAGTACTTACACACATTCCGTTCCTACCAGACACGTTGTATAAGTACAGGGGTCGACAATGCAGTTATACACTGTCACTCCGGGTGGACATTCTATAGATAAAGATTTATTTGTTACTCATTAAATCATGAAAAAAAGTTAATAGATTTGTCCATCATTTTTCTTTTGTGGTACAGAGTAAAATCTAAATACAAGATTCCCTCCTATACTTGTGTTTGTTCTTTGTAAGAGATTGTGCTACGTTGGGACAATTCAAAGAAGACTTTAATATTAAATAATACTTTAAAATGTGTATAGTAGGAATACAAAGAACTGTGCGAACAATCAAAGGGGCTAGGACATAATAGCAGTAGGTTAGTTTTTATTTCCTTTCAACAATGTTGTTGGTTACGAGCCACGGTCACAACCCGCCGTACGTGCTTCTGCGTGCTGTCTACGTGCAAAAACGTGGGCAAACGTAGGACATTCGTACGTGGTGAGTACCGTCTCCGTAAGGAATCTTACGGATTTGGGAGCACGCAGACACGCCATAGAACTTTAAGTGCATGTAAAACTTTTTCTACGTGCGGTCTGCGGATTCACCACCCGTGCGTTCGAGTACGAGCGACGCGCGTGCCCCGTACGTGCCGTGCGAAAGAAGCACGTGTGAGTACGGCCTCCTTACGGTAAATTTGCAATCGCACAGAGACCGTACGTTGTAACTACGGCACGTACAACTCACTTACCACTTGCTCAACGTACGATGCACGCAACCGCTCATGGCCAGACGTGGCGTGCAGACCACACTCTTAGGGCCCTGTCACACTTCTGCGAATCGTCTTGCGTATGAGTTGCGTACGGACATTTTTTTCATACGCAGTCGTACGCAAAATGCGCACTTCATATGCATCTCAGTCGTTTTGTGTAAGTTTTGTGAACGCTGGCATACGCACAGCACACGTACCGCCCGGCTTAGTACGCAGGATAGTTTTGAGCATGCTCAAAACTACGCTGTGCACCCTGTTACGCAGGTCATGCGTTTTTAATACGCAATGCATCGGTCAAGCACGGTATGACTACGCTATGTGGTTGTGGGGAACACGCGGCTCATACGCTTATCTGCACCTGGAACTGCACCTGTGCATAAGCTGCGTACAATGGACAAATGCACTGCGTACTTCCAGCGCTTTAGTACCGTTAGTATTGAAACAGGACAGCGCATTGTACGTATTTGTAACTAATGAGAAGCGCAAAGGTTGCGTACAGATCTAGATAGCAAATTTGCCGAACACCTGGGCTACACCCGGGGTACCGGTTCCTCTAGACCCCATGGTTAACAGACCTCCTGGAGCATTTGAAGTGAGATGTGACAAAAAAATGAATGAGTTGATAAATATGTTAAGATGGCTCTTTCTAATATGTTTTTCTGATTATTGGTAGATGGTTATTGGGAAAGCGTCTTTCCTACGTGCAGTGCAATATGTTTTACAAAAATGCATTTTGACACTTTTAACACAAAAGAACACCCTTGTACCGCCTTCTCCCAAAATAATAATAGGGCTGGCCATTTTGCATATTATCAATATATCTATATATATAATAGAATAATTGCTTTTTGTTGCCTGTTCTTTGGGATAATACTCCATTTGCTTGTTTGTTTGTTTGTTTGTTTTTGTCCGAGAAAATGTGTACGTAGATCGGCACAAAATAGTTTATAAAAAATCTAGGAGCATAAAAGCTATGGGCGAATATAAACTCAATGTCATGAAACATCTAGAGATTAATATGGACTTATAACAGTAGCCGCTTTGAACTGTGGTTGTATTGTAGTGTGTAAGCGCAATTGTAAATTGTTGGTATCGCAAGTATGGGTGTTTTCATTGTTTTCAAATTATTAAGGGAGGGTATTTCTTGACATCTCCAACTCATGATCATCAAGGCTATCAACAGTTTAACTGTTATGTTTGTATAAAGTCCGAGTACGGGTATTTAATTTACCTGACAAGATATTTTGTCAAGGAAATTGACCAGGGCTAAGGCGAAATGGAAACAAACACATTTTATCTGAGTTGAGGGCGGCCCATGATGAGAAGGACTCGATGCGAATGAAACAGCAGGAAGCAGCAGGGAATACGCACACAAGACGCTTGGCATTCGTCGGAAGTGCGTTAGGCATGCGGTGGGCATACGTTGAGTGCGTCCGGAATACGCTTGGCCTTCGCAATGCATGCGAACACAATACTGATGCCATGTGCAATCTATGCGCTGAATTCGTTATTTGTACGCTACATGTGCGTTACAGTATCGTTACGTATTGTGCGCACGACAGAAATATCTGTACAAAAAATCATACGCAATGGCTATTCACAAAAGTGTGACAGGGCCCTTACACCTTGCAAAACCGTAGGAGTGACGTGCGAGTGACGCGCGTCGATGCCACTCCGTCCCCACGTTTTCAGAAAAAAACTAAGCAGACGTAGCCTCCCAAAAAACGTACGGACAAAAAGCACGTACGGCGGGTTGTGACCGCAGTTTCACACAAGAGCCCATAGTTTATCCATATTGTACTTTAGGCTTTATCTAAAAAGATATGTTATATAAATAAAGGTTGCTAATTCAAGATAACGGGTAGATCAAATATACTAGCTGACGTCATTTTGACGTCGGTATTGTTGCCATTGATAACCTAGGTCTTACAAGCCAAGTTCTAATGCATAGCTGTTAATTGTAATGAAATAAGGTAGACAAGGAAAGAAATCACATAAATGACATGATAGTTAGGTCACAATAACACCAAAATTGATATGATTACAAGTACATTATGCACTGAGGATTTGGTGGATACACGACATGTAGTTTAAGACTTAA